TGGAGCAAAACTACGTACCGTCCCGAACCGTCTTCAGTTTCGTGTTCTCTGAACGGTTGACAGAGCGATCCGGATCCGATGTCGACTATCCAATCAACTGGAAGCTACCAAACTGACCGAGAAATACATGACACCCAAAATCATCTTCAAGGACAGCTGTCCCACTGCATTCTAGGAAACTATCAAAATCGACGACCAAATGGTGGCCCAGATCACTGAGGCCAGCCAAGCCTTCGGTCCGCTTCGGCCATTTGAATAGAATCACCCGGCTCCTCCCCGAAACAGTGTAAAAGGTGTGAAGACTGTAGTCTTGACAATATTTCTATGGCATGTGCACTTGAAAAATTTGTCAAAACCAATCGCTGAAGTTCAACCACATTCATTTAAGCGGTCTCCCAGTACCAACGGTGAGCGGATCCCGGGCACTCAAGTCTTGGAATCGACCAGTATCCTTGTAATTTTGAAGCAGATCCAGCTTCGATGAGGGCAACCACGTCGTAAGCTTCCCTGGGCGCCCGTCAGATGGACTTGTTTGGGGTAAAATCGTTGTGGGTGCCCGCCCCCAATGTGAGAATAAACGCTACAAGGACACCTTGAAAACCCTAATTGCTGCCTAGCCCCGCAAGATAATAGCACAGGGCTGGCAGGCACGACAAACTTCAGTAAAAAATGGCGTGGAAACCCTCACATCCAGTATAGTGCAAGCCAAACAGGAGCATGGAGTGCGCAAATCCGGACCAACCCCTAACCAGGTATATCCACCACCCAAGAAAATTAAGGTCTTGTGGACGCCTTCGAATACACGATGGCAGTACTAACTGCAATAACATCGAGTCTATGTCCAGGGGTATTGCAAACGCTGGCCACCGACTCTATGCCTGTATGCACCGTGGAGGCACATTCCGGGCTAGGTAGCAACTACTATTTACTGACCAGTAATACCATTGACACCGACAACTCCAATCTACCCCCACTTTTAGCGAGCGCGTACATACCTTGACACCCCTATTGACATAATCCACCAGAGGTTTCCACTCATCATCCAAGCCCCAGACTCAGTCTAGTGAAGACGACCACCGCTAATTATTACCAGCAAACTGTCGATGAATACAGCAAAAAAGAAGCATTTCGGGTGCGTCTGGAAGACTATCGACGGGTTTAAAGAAACCATGAAACTAAAAAAACGAAATGTAAATGCAGCAGAGCAGCAGGCATCACAATGACGACGAAAGAAGTATGATTAAATAACAGAGACCAGAATGCGGTCAATCAGAGTCACTGTCCAATGAGGTCCGGCGGACGGACGAGGACTGAATAGGGGATAGCGGAGAGCCCCTTGGAGGGAGGAAACCGTGTCTAGGAGAGAAAATGGCATGTTTGATTTGTGCGGGACAAGCATGTCACTGAGACTGTATGTGTGGATGTATCAGCAGCCGCTCATGCGGGCAACTATTAAATAGACAGGGAATAAGTCTGATGCTGGAATATGACAAGCACGAAGGATCTGTCCATCCTTATAGAATGTAAAACTAAAAGGACCAGACGTGAAAATAATCGCGCTAGGTAACTTGAAAATTGGGCTGGACTTCCCAGAACAATTGAAACAGCACTGAGTAGAAACGTTAATTGGTGCAGCAGTCCAGTAGGGACAATCAACACTTTGAGGCATCCATCGCAACGGCTTATGTCTGCGGCGGATTGAGACGGGCAGCTCCAATAGTAACTTGACTGTCGCATGGTACGTGGGCACTAGTGACAAATGTACCCTAAATTACAACGTGAACGGGCAATAATGTGGGTAAATTCAACTCCACCAACTGGCTCAATTCTAAGTGAGTAG